AGCCGATACTTTTTACGGTTTTCCAGGTTTGTGTTTACAACAGGTTTTTCTTAACATAGAAAATCGTTTACGTAGGTTTCCGTTTTATTCAGGTTTTGTCTTGGACAGATTTTACTGTATTTATTTAGCCTATTTTGGAGACCTCAAAAAAACTTTTAAATAAACTAAAGGCCTGGAATGACCCCGGCAACTCTTACTCTGTATGAAGCCCTGCATATTCTAAAAATAATAATTACATAAAATCGCGTAATATTAAAATAATAATAATAATAATAATAATATTTTATAAAGTTCTATTTTAAGAAAGATATTGCACAATTTGAGGAAATTCTGAGGAAATTTAATTTAATCAGGAATTCCGTATAGAGTGATAAACCGGGAATTGAATAGTCCAATACGAGGATAAACTAATGAAAATATACCTGAGAAATTCTTAATTTTTGTATAAAATTAACGAAATTGAAGATTTCAGAACTTTTTCTTATGAAATTCTTAATATTTTTCTTTAAAAAATCTATTAAAAAACGTAATTTTTATTGGTCAAACAAGTACAAATTCAGAGAAGTAACTACTAGATAAGGAATTAAGAAGCGTATTAAAGCTTCGAAGTTCTTCTTTCTAACAATAAAAAGAGCATTTAAAGTCGTTAATTATACAGTAAATTCAATTTTTATATCATTTTACAGTATAAAAACTGATTATAACAAGGTAAGTAATTGTTAGATTTCATTTCCCGCAAACATCCGTCTATCTAATCGTTGCTAACCGTCAGGATGTGAGAGAATGTAGTTAACCTTCCTGCGTTAGATAACACTAACTATTCACTCTTCTATCGCTTCTACATATGAAAAAAAATTAATAATAATTAATTTTAAAACGATTCCAACGACAGAATTTACTAAAAATAACCCATTTTCCATCATTGATTCTTAATTAAAAGTCAGAACGGTGGCTTAGAATTTAACTGCTTCTCGGGGTGGAAGAAGAAGTTGTTGGCAAGTGTCGAATGCAAAATATGGCGAGGAATCTAACAGCGGCCAGTTGGCGGATATCCCGTGAAAGTAAGCGTGTGGACACAGAATCAAAAGATAAAACGTGACACGTGACAGGGGAAGGAGCAAGGGCTAGACTTCTCCTGTCATGTGACGTGATAAAGGGCGCCTGATAAAACAAGCGAATGCATAAATACTTGCTTTCAACAAGCAATATTTTAGAATTTATTTTTCATTATTATATTATTATTATTTTTTAAAATAAATTACAACTTTAAATATATTTTAATACGTTTAATGTAAAATAAATTGAAAAAAATTGAAGAAATAACTTGATAAAATCAATATTATTTGTCATACTTTCTATTAAAATATTGTTTAATTATCAAGAAAATGTTATTAAATTTTTTTTTCTCTTCTTTTATTTATTTTTTAATTTATAAACGTTTTAATTAACAATTAAAATAAATTAATTAATTTATGATAATTTTTTATAGCTATTAAAAGTTATAAAAAAAATTAAACGAAGGGGAGTAATTTTTCTCTCATTTATCACTTCCATCCCAACGTTTAACTAATTTATTTAATTTTGTAATAAAAAATTGTCATAAAAATTTTTGATTTTTCTGCGATTTATTCCTTTCCTCTTTTCTGTTTTATGTTGAGGAAGCCTACAAATAAATTCATTTCACTAGACTTAATAATTTAATTCTTTGATTCCATTCTTTAATTATCTCCCTTATAATAACTTTAATTTTATCCCCATACAGAACAATTTTAGTTCGTTAACAATGAAATTAATTTAATTGTTAATTTAACCGGATTCTTTAAGTAAAATCAAGAGTAAAAACTATCAAAAATTCAAATTTTTTATAGTTTTTCTCTTGATTTACTTATATAAATATGCATTAATTAACAAACACGCAGAACCGTTTTTTTAGAGTCTAGAGGAGGGTTGAGAACTGTATTTTTTGGGAAAATTTCGCGTGTTCTGCACGTTAATAAGTGAATTTTATAGAATAAAAGTTGGATTAACAGTTTAAATATTAAAATAGCTCATCACATCCTACTCCGTTCGTTAGATACGATACTGATTTAAACAATTTCTTCTAATTTTACTTCTAAAATTCCTTAAAATCCTTTAAAAAGTCCTTAAAGTTAACATTATTTAATAAAAATTCGGGTTTTCGTCTATAAAAACGTAATTAAAAACGTCAAAGTTACAAACATTAACTGGTAATTAGCATTATGATAAATAACATTGTTATCGATTGAAATTCCTCGCCCATTAACGCTGTTTTAAACACATCAAAGTATATATATTTTATTGTAAAAATTTCTATATTTTCAAATAGAAAATTTAAATTAATTAAAAATTTTTCTCGATTATCCGTGCGTAATCAGCATTCTCAGATTATTATAATTTAAAAATAAACATAAAAAAATCTTTTAAATAAAATTTTAGTATTAACATTTATAAACATTTTATTCGATGTTTAAACAGGAAAAGCATAAGTGATGACTTTTACCGGATTTCCGGTTTGAAGCGAATTTCCGATGTAAAGTTTACATATAAATTAAATCAGGCGATCTCTAAATAATATTAAAATAAACTTAATTTTTGGTTTCAAACCGCAATTATTTATAATTTTAGTTTCCATTAGAAATTTAGTGATTTCCTCTTCGATTTTTATGGAGAAAACATCGATGAATCATTCGAATTTAAACCCGAAGAGGATTGAAAAAACAATATTGTTATTGCAACCGCAGAAGAGTATAGGAGCCGTATTCATGAATTGCCATTCAATGTCCTTCCCAAATCGTGACAGGTATTGCCCAGTCACGTGAACAAGTTTGATGCATCAGTGAATCGGACTCCGGCCACGTGATCCGGATCACATCTCGTTTCGGATATAAATAGAGGAAATAATCAATGGTTGATAATGGTAGAAAAGGTCGTTGTATATGCTTCTATAAGTTCAAAATTTTGTTTTAGTGACGTAGGAACCACGTTTTAAAGGTTATAAAACGTTACTTTCTCACACACTCCGAGTGTAGGCGTCGTAACACTGTTTGAGTCATAATTTGGTTTGTCATTGATGTCATGTTTCCTGTAACGAATAATTAAATCAGATTTATTTCAATTCTACAGAATTAAATTGACTACTTAGTTATAAAATTCTAATAATTAAAATTCTTGTGTATTATTTTATTTTATTTTTTTTAATTAAAAAATATAATATAGAACTGTTTCAAGCTCTTTCTCTCTTTCCTCCTCCTCCTCCTCCTCTTCTCTCTGTTTATACAACTAATTTATCAATTTATATACACTATTTTTAGCATTTAATACAGTAAAACCTATCTAGAACGGAACCTGTATAAAACGGTAACCTTCTTCGTAAGCAGAAAAAAATTCTTCGGAACGGAGCGATTTTCTATAATTAAAAACAAAAAGAAAACCTGTTTAAAACGGAAAAATATTTGATATTGTGTCATTCCGGCTTATACAGGTTTTCGTTCGATTAAAAATTAAAAATTAAATTATTACACGATTTTTCTATATTCTTAAGCTTAATTTAATCGCCGAATTACATTGATTTTTATCATTTAATTCTAAGAAGCATTAACCTGTTAAGAACGTAAATTTATACAGTAAAACCTGTGTAAATCGGAATAGCACCTTGCCGAATATTTTTCCGGTTTGACAGGTTTTTTCTAATATTAAAAAAAATCGCTCCTTTTCAAAGATTTTTCCCGTTTAGGCAGGTTTCCGTTTTACTGAAGTTCCGTTCTGGGCAGGTTTTACCGTAAATGCTTTGTTTGTTAAGGAAATTAGTAAAATAAATCAAAATATTTTGATTTTATTAGAGTAATCTCTCGATATCAAACGATGAAGATTCAGTTAAGGGATGAGTTTAGAACGGAATCATTGGTTAATAAACGGAAATGTAGAATTTCCCGCTTGAATTTCCCTTTTTTTAAAATCCCGGCCCGTTACAAATAAAGATAAAATTCTGATTCAGAATGAAACATTCGATTGGAATTTATAGATTTTTTTTTTTTTAAATTGATCTTTTCCATATTTTTTGCTTCATCTCTTTGTAATTCCATCAACCCGATATGAAGATGTCACCTCGCATTAGACAACTAATCACCCGAAAATCACATTTAATGACAGTTTCGCTATCTTCTGATTCTTTACCGTTAAAAAGATATCACAGTCATTATCTGCTATACCTTAGCCATCAATCTCTTTGTTCCCATAGCAACCTTTCAGCTTGAGTTACATCAGGATCTAATTACGAACTTATGATGATTCTAGAATTATTTAGTCTCCTCTCGCTAAAATAATCCTAAATTACCCGAGTTATTATATAAATAGGATATACATACGGTAAAACCTGTGTAAAATGGAATCGCACCCTACCTAATACATATCCAGTTTGCCAGGTTTCCGTGTTAAACGAGTTTTTCTAAACATAAAATCGTTCCTTTCCGAAGATTTTTTCCGTTTTGAACAGGTTTTTTCTCTATATTTAACATAGAAAATCGCTTCTTACCGAAGACTTTTCCTGTTTACATAGATTTCCGTTTTACTCAGGTTCCATTTTGGATAGGTTATACTTTATACAATAACTTAGAAGAATTTGACATGCTTCGGAGTATATGGGGTTTTGCAATTTACAAGACGATTTTTCTCCTTTTATTTGTGATGTAATTAATATATTATGCTATATTTTTAAGTAAATTATATTATTTTCTAATATTTTCTTGTAAAATTATATATTTTCGATGTAAAACACACGTATCAAAGTTTATGTTTATTGCAAAAACGAGCGCAACCACTTCATAGAAAATCATGGAGTACCGGGTTTTTAATCAATTCCTAGAAATTTTCTTTAATGTATTTCTTAGAAATTTAGTTAGTTTTTTTTTTTTTAATATTAGTATCACGTGTTCTACTTTAAACTTAAACTTTACTTCTTGTATAATTTAATATGTGGCCACTAACCCGGATTAATTCGAGTGGTTCTTTGGCCCATCGTATCATATTTGATGCTAACGTAATCCCGTTACTCATTCCATTCTTTCTGTTTTTAACATAAACAAGGAAAGAAAATAAAACAAGCTACACCCGTCCAACAAGCTGCTAGTCACGTGACTCGCACTCCACAAAATTTGCAAGCCAAGGGGTCCACGTGTTAAGCCATGAATGATGGGAACGAATTAATATAGAGAACTACACCAAAGCTTCGATTTTGTTTTTGTTTGCGCTACAGTCAGGCAAAAAGGGGGGAGTTAGGCGTGAAATAAGAATCCCTTACATGACGTCACGTCAGTTATGATGGAACGGTTGCAGTAAACAGCTATTATGCAGCAAGCGGCATTCGCAATGTGGTCCTACTTGATTGAAAAGTTTACCTATCTCACAACAGTGCAGGTTGGGTTACATAGAGTCGCCATAATCCTGGAGTAACACATCTGCCGTTCCATATACCAATCTTGTTTGTATCCCTCATCAAAGAAGAATTTCCTCTGATGTTAAACCATTAAAAAATTCGATTATCAATCGCGATTAACCCACGCATTTAAGCAATTCAACTAACCTAATTAAGGAGCATCTGAAGAACCAGTAAACCTTCAAAGTAAGCTCTTAACCTTTTCCTACCAGTGGCGCATTATCCTATGGGCCAAAAGGGCAATTGTCTGTGGCCTCACCAACATGGAGCCCTAAACCAATCTTTTATAAAAAAAAAAAAAAAAAAAAAAAGTATTTCGCCCAAAAAATTCCTTTAAAGAAAAATGTTCGAAGGCAACACTATTGTACAGTACGTGAGGGCCCCTAATTCAAATTTTCCAGGGGTCCATGAATCTCTAATAAGCCAACGTCTTCTGCTTATTGCCACTAAAGAAAATAAGTTTAACGATGAAATATTAATGAAAATTAATTGAATTTTTTGCGCAAATATGCACGATTCTCCTCATTGCAATGGATCTTTAAAACTTTTAGAGACTTGTAGAGGCATAATAGAAGCAAAACTGCTGACCTGTTAAAGAATAATAACAACGATCGGCCCCACTTAGCATGTGGCAACTGCATTTTAATTATGCAAGAGGTGGCTTCAATAGTAAAACCATCTGCAGACAGCCCAAAGGATCGAATTACAACATCGCGCACTCCGAACCAAGAAAGGTTGGAACATTTTCAATACACAAAATGTCATATTTTATAGTATGACAAGGAACCATTAATTCTGGAAGCGAGGGTGGCCGGTCCCGACTTCCGGAACTTTGGTTTGGGGAAAGAAGAGGGAACAAAGTTGAAGGCGTTGGCGGCGTTTAACAAATCAACCGTCTTTTCAGCGATTGAAAAATGTACAATTCCTCTTTTGTGGGAGGAAGGAAGAAGGAAAAAAAACCGCTCGCGTGCGTGCTGTCAGGTGTGGAATGTGGCACGGTTTAAAGCCAGGTGGTGAAGTTCGATGACGTCGTCGCACGCATGCGTATATACTCGATATCTGCGTCACTCAGCAACGTATAGAAAGTGAATTTTTTTAGAATAAGTGGCTATAAATTTCGTCTGTCCGTTTGTCTGTCCGTATACATTCGATGAATATTTAAAGACAGAAACAAATTTTTTGAAATAAATCCAAGAAAAAAAGGTACTAAATTGGCGAAATTAAGGATATAATTTTGGTTATTTTTAAGCAAATAACTTAATTAAAATATTAAAGTAGGGTGCGCATTTTTTTCGATATAACAGTACAATTCTATATTTAAAAAATTAAAAAAAAAGGGAGTTACAATTTTTTGGGGTAAACAAATTTGTTTATCAGATATCCCTGACCGGGTTAGATCATTGCAAAGATAATCAAAACGAACAATGAAAGTCGAAAATCCCAGCCCCATATCGTGTCCGTGAACAGACTGACCTCATTGAATCGTTTATTTACCACAGGAGGAGGTCTTCAGCTTTCATTACTTCAGCAGGAACGGGAGGGGGGAAGAAAAAGAAAGAAAAAAACTTTATCTACTAATTAAAATCTAACTAAACAGAAAATGCGTTACATAAAACTGGCCACAGAATATACTTTAAAACACGTGTTTTAATTCGTCATCCCTCATCAGTTACATACCCCTTTATTAAATAGTAAATCGAGATTTCCCCTTGTGTTAAGAAGAGGTGGGAGTTATTTAAAATAGGGATTACAGTCCTTTAATAAGCCGAAAATTTGGGATTAATACGGAAAGAGATGAGGATTTGATATCCTCCCACGCATTCGACTAGTTAGTCTGTGGGAAGAGGAAGTAGCCAATAAGACCAAATGTTGTAAGTCGTCCATTGGTCGACGGTCGGAAGTGGGCGGATGATTGTCGTTCGGCAACACACGTTCGAGGGTGTGCACTATTTAGTGATGTTACTTTCATCTAGATATCGTGGCTGCTATTAATCTACACTCCTGGAGGCACGATGTGTGCCACTTTTGGATAAAATCCAACATCCCACTTATTAAAGGTGGCAATCGGAAATAAGTCTAATTTTGCATGTCTTTTACCTTTTTTTGTATAATTCTTTTTCTTTTTTTTTTCTTTTTTTGAGGGATATTACCGTAGTTTTCTTTTATTAAAAAGCATTTTTCTCTGTAGATTCGTTGTATAAAGGAGCTTGGAGGCCTTCCTCACCTCATCAGAATCCAGGTAAAAATTTGTTTAATTTCTTAATCTGTATGCTGATTTGAGAGAATTTTTGCTTGAATTAATTGAGAAGAACGAATTATTTCAAACCTAATTTCAAATAAAATCAAGTTTATTGTCTGTAGAAAGCGCCATTAAAAATTCGTTTTTTAAAGAGAGTTTTTATGCGTTAAACATAAATAATTTTAGAATAAAAAATAACCCTGTTTAATAAATCAAATCCCAAAAATTATATCCGCAATTTTTATATAAAACTATGAATTTTACTAGAAATAAAATAGGAGGAAAAAAAACTTGATCTTCTCCACTTAACAAGTAAAAATTCCAATTATAAATATATAAAATTCCAATTTTTAACTCTCCAATTTAAGAAAAATTGATGAATTTAAGTCTTTGTAGTTTCTTACGCAGATTTTTATACGAAATATTCATTTATTTCATTTAATTTTTGTCTTAGATTAAAGTTCTTTCACTCGACTCTCCTTACAAACGACGAGAAAACATCAAATTGACACCAAATATCATAATTTATATCATTTTAACACTTAAAAATCGCATCCGAGTAACAAAATATTAAATTTCTATAAACTTTTTCCCTATTTTGTTCAGTTATAACGTTTCTACATCGAGTTAGAGTTTGATAATAGGTGTATAATTTAGAAGATAAATTGGACTTAAAAATTAATAAATAAATAAATATAATTTCCCCAAATTTAAAAATAAATTATATTAAATTTGTCCTATTTTTTGAGTTAATTTAAACTTAGAAAAAAATGATTAAACAGGTTAAAGGGATGACGTTGTACTACTTAAATTAGAAGTGACTAATTTTTTTCCCTCTCCTTATTAAACACAATTACCTTAAGAATCAAATAAAACAGGGTTAAAGAATAGAAGATTAACGTATAAAATTAATTTTAATAAAGTTAATTTTAAACGTGGTTAATTTATAATTTGTTTAAATGTTAAATAAATGTATCAAGTAACGATATAGAATAACGTTGTAACAAAACGTAATTAAAATATAACGTTATTCGATAATGATCAAGAATTAATTGTAGTACAAAGAACAAATAAATTTTACATTTTAAATTAAATAATTTAATTAAAAATATTGATTTTAAATTAGTTAATAATTAGACAATTATTACAGAAAATTTCAGCATTTCTCTTCTTTCGTTTCCATATTTTACACCCAACGAATCTATGGAATAAATGAAAATTATATTAAATTTAACTAGAATTATATCATATATTTAATTATTAAGCGTGTTTAACAGTTAATATATTACAATTATTCACATAAATACGAAAAAATAATTACTCAACTTCGTTAAAATGACGTAGAAAGATGAGCATCATCATCTTACTCTTCCTTATCTTTATCATGATTAAGCGCGTGTTTTACGATTATCACGATCAGAATTTCGATTATTTAAATATAATTGTCGAGTTTTAACCGAGTTTTTGGTTAGTTAATAGATTTCTCTGGGTCCAAACGTGAAATACGAAGCGTGTTTTGTGTTCCGCTTGACAAATATGAGAGCCCACATTATTTTCGGGTTGGGAATAAGTTAACAATGAAGCCAGAGGAAGTCACTAGTAATGGATCATGTCTGTGATGCTTTTTGACAAATGGATATGTTTACCGTCCCGCCTCATAAACACGCTCTGGCCTACTTGGGAACAGGTAAACACTTTACCTGTTCCATCCAAATGACGATGCTCGACGTAATTTACTTTTAAATCGCTCATTTTCTCACTTTCTTTCTCATCTTTCCTAGGTTATCATGGGAATAATGTTACTAGAATGACAAAGCCTAATTTAGAGACTCATCCCCACATTAGGAGCATTCAAGGTAAATATTTTTTAATATTAATTAACAGATAAACTAAAGTTAATTTTAAAATATAACTGTTATTTCGATTGGTGGAATTTTTTCTTTTTTAAAAAAAAAAAAAAAAAAGAAAGAAAGTTTCTGGTAAAACTTCAACGATTGGCCAATGGGGATGGTGTTTTATTGCCATGGAAACGGTAGGGATGACAGTTTTACAAGAGTAAAAGTGTCAAAAAATACTGCTCGAGTGCCGGTTGAAAAATGTTAAACTTTTGTCGAGACTTCAAATAAAATGGAGGATGTCAAATGCAGTCTTCTTCCAACAAGCAATTTAGAATAGCTTTTGCCGAGATACGTTCCTTTCTATAATGAAACACAATGTACATTAAATTTATACTTCCGACTCTTGATAAAAATTTATTTATTTTAAACGCATCGTACCCCTTCTGGCCCATTAATTTCCATTTATTTTTTAATTTTAAAGAGTCGGATTTTATGTAAATGAATCGATAATTAAACAACCCTCTTCTATTCTCCAGATTCTTATCAGATGTTTGGTTCCTCCAGCGGTAGGATTACATCTTCTAGTAAGTACTTTACAATGGATTATCGTGGAAACTGTGAAGATATTCGAGATAAAAAGATGCTTATCTTCATCTTCTTCCTCTTTTATAGCAGGTAGCGGACAGATACAATTGTGGCAATTTCTCTTGGAGCTACTATCCGACGCTAGTAACTCCAACTGCATTACTTGGGAGGGTTCGAACGGAGAATTTAAGCTAACTGATCCGGATGAAGTAGCGAGAAGATGGGGAGAGAGGAAAAGCAAGCCAAATATGAATTACGATAAGCTTAGCCGAGCTCTCAGGTATTATTACGAGAAGAACATCATGACAAAGGTACACGGCAAGAGATACGCCTACAAGTTCGACTTCCAGGGATTAGCGCAGGTCACTCAGCCAACCATCACCGATGCGGCCTACAAGTACAGCCCGGATTTATTCGGATACCACTCGAATGCCGGTCCCAAATTGAATTTCGGAATGGCTCAGCATTCCAGCATGCCAACCAGCGCCGGTACCATATTCCCATCTGCAGCAGCTACTTACTGGTCGGCTACGTCACCCAATCTCTACGGGAATATCACGGTGTCGTCCTCCATATCTCATCACCACAGTCACGTGACATCGCACATCGCGCCGTATCCTCATTACGCCTGACTTCCGGCGTGATTATTAATGAAATGTGCCAAAAAGAATTTGTTTTTTTTTTTAAATTCCGGTCCTTCCATTGCTCAACGTTATTTTCCTATGTTTCACATTCCAATTTTATAATTTGTTTCTTATTAATTTATATATATATACATATCTATATATTTAACGCTATTCTTTCGAATATAATCGTTCTTAATGCCAAAAATATCAGGGAATTTGAAAAAAAATAAGCAATATTAATACCAGATCTCAAATTTACTGTACAATATATACATACACATATATATTTTTTCTGTTTTGTGTTATATTCTAGTCATAATCTCCATCTTAAGATGGCCCTTATTAAGAAAAATAAAAAGGAAAATATTGTTTTTCTGTACATAGAAAGTCATATGTAACTTCTCTTGAGAAATAAATTTGATATTCATTAAATAAATATTATAAAAAGTTATCACGAGTTCTCCTTTCTCTTATTTTTGATAAACTGGAGCTTCAGTTACACAACAATAAACGAATTTACGTGTTAAATTCTTAGTGAATTCTATAGATTTTGGCCTATAAAATTACTCGAATCTTAGTTATATTAACTTAAACTATAGAAAGGAGACGGGATAAACTTATAAAAATGATAGATTAGACGTAGATTTAGATAATATACGAGCCAAATTATAGGTTATAAATAGTCAGAATTTATTACTTGACATAAAATGTGATCTTAAATCTAGTAATATAAGGATGTAGAGTCGTTTTATACGTAATTTAATATATAAAGAAGAAACCTTATAGGATTGCTTTCTATATTCTTATATTACTGAACGGATCCTGTATCCAGTAGGGTAAGAATATTAATTAAAGCTAATTCTGTTTTAAATTTTTTTAAATTTATAAGATCGTTTTAGAATCGATATTGAGGGACCACAGGTATGAACGTTTTATCTACGTTCACACTTCTATCGCTGTGGATAAAGAATAAAATCTTAGATATTGTGTACGTGTATAAGTGTGTTTGTCACACCTAAAATCTTTTATAAAGGGGATCTTTATAAAAGTAAGGGGTCGGATCTCCTGAATCCCTCTCTGGTTACGCTACAGAATTGTTTGTAAGTGTTCCTTCTTAAGTATTTGCCTGTATATTTAATATATAGATTAGTTGAAAATCTTTAAAAATTTAGATTCCAAACCAATTTTTCTATTAAAAATTTAAGAAGTTGCACGTAATTATTGTTTTACACAGAAGAAAAACGGTGTGAATGAATATTATCTCAGTATTTATAGAATAATGTGAAGAAACTTGATACAGTTTCCTTCGCGACGTTATCGATTTAGTTTAAAACGTCACTTTATCAAATAAATTATTAAGAATATAAAGAATTAAACAGAATTACCCATCATTCGAGTAGTTGTCGCTTAAATAAAAACGTTGGAAAATAAGGCGAACAAAGAAATATAACTTAGTAAAACTGATTTACTGTCAGCAAGTTACTGACACATGACGTATGAGTAAGTTTGCACAGCTCTCTCTAACTGTTTGCATTTGCCATGTTCACGTGACACATCTTTGATTCTTTAAAAGGACGAATTCAAAGCTTTAATCCTATCCAAAGATCGATGTTGCATGATATGCAAACACAAGCCAAACGCGCGATACTATCCTGAATATTCTTCTTTAGTTTGTTTCTAGAATTTTTAATTGTTCTCTCACAGTTTCTAGTAAATATAACCCAATTTAACTTATATAAAATGTTTTAATCCCAGATTACCGACCGTTTCTAATCTGACACTTCTGAATTGAATATCATTCCCACACTCATTAACAATTAACTAGGCTTGTATACATCGTACGGCTACTAACCTTCGACCCACTGACCCACAGACTTAAAAATAATCCTTTAATCCCAAGATTGTGTGCCACGTGACCTAGCTAATTTGCCTACGGGAAAGGCTATGAATGCGAGGGACGTTTGCCTCTTCAACTGTCAACACTCTTTTTCAACCCCTTGCAATGAGGCCTATAACCCCTTAGTTAGATAGGGGTTAAATCCGAAGTTCATTCTGTGAAGTTTGATCTGGTTTAGTCGAAGGGAAATCCTGACAAAAGACATAACATCTGTAAGCCCTTCTCACCCCCTTTACATCTGCATTAGCACTCTATAATTCTGGTTAGATGAGAAATGTATTGAAAGGATAAAAATTGAAAATTGTGAATTATAAATGTACTCGTCTATACAGATTTTAATCAATTGAAACTGGAAGATCGCATCATTTCTTTATTTATTCGCGTAAAAGAGCGCTCTACACGATTTTACACGGTTACCAACAGCGTGAAAAGTCTCTATACAATGAATAAACGTTATATTTACACAGAAGTAACATTATCTCGATGGTCCTGATCAGTTTAAATTCGGTACGTGACCAGCTCTTTAGTTCAGTGTTGAGTTAGCGTAATTGGAAACGGTGTCCTCTATCAAGGCAACAAGACCGAATTATATTATTAATTAAAGTTAAGTACTTGTGACAATATTATTACAGTAATCTAATATTTTTTACACCTCAGGGTCAGCTTATCTTCTTAACTATCCACGTTTATCCAACTTATCACTTGCATCATCTGAAGAGCATCCTCATCCTCCTCTCTCTACATCTGTAAATTATTAAAGCCGATTTAAATCTTCGCTTTCACACTTAAAAATATTTTTATAAACTTTAAATATAACTTTAAAATCGATGATACATTAATAAAATTTAAAATTCAGAAAACAAAGTCTTCTCTCAATAAATGATCATTCATACATGAACGGTGCCGCTGAGTCAGGATTTCCTGTATTTTCTGCGCTACATCAGGGAAAATGTTAATTATCTCTTCGAATTGATGTAGTTTTTTTTAGTGTTATAAAAGTTATTTTATCCTATTTTTTTTTTAATTGTAAATATAGTTATAGTAGGCATCTCTAGGAGATGGAAGGTTTACTGATCAACAGACCACATTGACACTTCTTAATGGTGACAAAACAGTTAAAGGAAGTGGTGAGTGTACGTGACGTGGTGAGTTGACGAATGGGGATCGAACGGATGTTTATTTTGATCTCAGTTTGGAACCAAGTAATTAAAGACGTGATCCTTACACTAAATTCGTCTAAATTCCATTCAAAAATTATGATTTTTCAAACGTATTTTTCACTAACTTCCTTCATTTTGTATCCGATTTTAAAACACGTGATACATAATTACTATTACGATACTTTAAGTTAAAATATAATTAATTTTTAATTTAGAATTAACAGAAAATACATCAAGAATTATCATTTGTTTTAATTAATTTGTGCAACATAACAGATTTAACGCCAGTATGGAAAGGCATAAAAAAGGCCCTAAAATTTATATTTTTATGTAAACAAAAAAAATGCTATTAAAATGACTCTAATTAAAACTTAATCTGATAAATAATGGAAAAAGCGTCGTATTTATATATATTTTTGTAGCTTTCGGAGAGGGAAGAGGCCAAAACTTGTAACTGGCACGTGCATCATCTCATCTCTCTCTCTCATCCTCTGATGCTTTATCATACCTACAAACTAATTACAGTAGTTGAGTTTTAATAATAATTAATTTTATTTATAAAATAAATTATTATTTTCTGTATAAAATACGTGAATATATCCTAATGCTTAGATCTACTTGAAGTATAATCAAACAGTAATTTTAACTTTATTCAGCTGGATCCCCGTTATACAGATGTATCCATTATATAGAAAAAATAAATCCAGAGCAGCAATTATATGCAGCTGTATCCATTTTATCTTGTTAAATATAAATTTATTGGACCCCTGTTAGATAACACCAGGCAATATAGACCAACCATTTAATATTAAAAAAATGTTTCTTAAATTATCGAGTTATATCTGAATGCAAAACATTACAGAACGAATGTAACGCTACAATAAATATAATTTAATTTTTAAAATATGGTTGAACCTGCCATCAACGGCCACCTCTAAACAGCGGCCATTTTTTTATGTTCTTGTCAGTGTCCGTTGTTCGAAGGTTTGACTATATATGAAAAAATTGCTTAATATAATTTTAATATATAAAATCAAGCAAATAATATTTAAATAATTCAAAATAATAATAAAGTTTAGGATGTCTTTTTTCGAATTGTTCTCATAAACAGTGGCATTTTTGAGTTTTCTATCTGTTTAAGGCCTCTCAGAGTGTATTGGGGCCTGAGACAAAATATATATTTGGGCCTTCAAGCAAATTATTGTATTAAGGTAAAGAAAGTAAACGGAAAAAATTGTATAGGACCCGTACAGGCCCGAGGCAATTTGTTCGTTTTCCCTCCTCTGAAATACCCTGACTATGTTTACTAAGGCTGTTTTGTGCTGCCTACCATATAAATGCCGAATAATCTTTTAAACACCCCTATATATACACATAAAAGCCATTTTTACAGCATACTATAATACATATAAAAAAGATTTATATTCGTATATTTATTATATTACTAATTTTTTTTAAACTTTAACTTTAACATTAAACAATTCAAAAAAATATTGCAGAGAAGAAAATTTTAAAGATAAAATATCAAAATATATAAATATATAATTATTTTTAACATTTCTTTATTTATTAATACAAGTTATATGCCTTTTAAGGAATGAATGTAGGCACCAGAGAAGTAAGCATAAGCTTGGTTGCTACACATTTTTCTTTTCTCGATTGTTATATATTATACGTATAAAAGGGAGTGTAGCGATGGGTAAAAAAAAATGACCCCAAGATTTTCACATTTTTGGACTTAGGTCACCTTGAAACGTCGAGGAATGCAAAAAAATTCGGAGGTAATTTCTGTATGTATAAATGTTAGCATGTGTGGGGAATACGATTTTGTTCACCCTTTTTGAAGCTTAATAACTCCCTTTTATCTTTTTATCGAAATTTTCTGAAATTTTGCAGGGAGGTTTATGTATTAGGGGCATTGATGCTATTTAATTTTGGTGGTCGAGGGGGTGGGGAGATAATGGAGGTCGTGTGTATCTCCAGTAGAGTCGGACTTAATGACGATTTTATTCGTTATTAGCATTTAAAATTTTTATAAAACTTATTCCTACTCTCAAAATTAAGGTTTAGCCATTTTATAATAGTTAAAAATATAAAAAAATTTTTAAAATAAAATATGATAATAGATGGCGTCACCAAAATTTAAATGTTGCCGGGAAAGTTGATTAACTTGCTGTTTACTAAAGAAAGCAATTCGAAAAATAAAAATTGTATTTAAAAAAATTAAAAATATCGTGTTTTATTTATTATAATAAACAAATAAATCGTATTTTTCTGAGCTAATTGTAAAAAATGCTGGAAAGACAAACATGGAAGGCAAGAACTTCTCAGCAAAAATCAAAACATATAAAGCCTTTTCTACATCATATTTTTTAAAACGTAGTACAGAACAAATAAATACGATCAATTACATAAAGTTACATAAATAGTATCATAATATGAAACAAGCCAACAAATATACACAAGTTTAGTTGTTAATTACACTAGCTTGGAATCATTAAGACTGATGGAATAAAGCAACGTAAGGTTTGGGTGACCTGCCAAGAAGGGGGGATGTCTCTGAGAAGATTCTATGAAAAAGTGATTCCTATTTAGATGAAGAAACCCGGAAAACTCCACGTGGCTAGCTTGTTGGTGAGCTTTGAATCTTCTAAAGTGCGTGATCATAGCTAAATCGTAACTTTATATACTGTACTTGTATAAAAGCCATTACTAAAAAAATAAATAAAAATGGTCATACACGTCTATCGAGTTTATCTGAGATTATTGTGACGACATAGACAGGACGAAACTCTATGATTTAAAGCGATAAAAAGCACACTACATCTATTCCACAATAAAAAATTCCAGATTTTATTTAAAGTACGAAAATGTTGATACTTTATAAATAACGTTTAATTTTCATAATTTCTTTTTTTCTTTCGAATTATTTCCTCTACTTTTAGTACGTGATTTCTTTTCGCGTTCGGAATCGCATTGCTTTAATATAATCCTCGTCTCTTTATCGTAACATTCACTTTTCGGAATCTAAAATTCAATAGAAATTCTTTATACCAATTGATTTTAAACAATTATTACCGTATTTGTAAATGTCTAAATACAGTAATTGTGTATTCCTCGCTGGTTGAGGTTTTCTTGAGCGGAAGAATTGTTAGGCAATCGCCAGTTTCTCTCTCTTCCTCCAATTCTTCACATTCTTTCATTTCTTTTGAAGCTGTTTTCTTTTTCATTGGTGTTTTTTGCAATTTTTTTCTTTTCGTTCCCTCCTTAAAATTAATGAATTGATTAATAATCTTGATATAAACTACTTCTAGTTATTCAATACAATTTTATCATTTAAAGTAAATAAAATATATTTTATACGCTCAAACTTCGAATTAGTGCTAAGGATATTATTTGTTTGCCTCTGAAATTGGCAGTAAATTGAGTGTCTATAAACTGACATACCTCAAACGATAAGTAATGTTTTCATTGTTTTACATAGTCACTTAGTTTAACTATTAGAATGTCGTCGACAATGTAGCCTACGTTTATTAATTGACGACTGAAGGGGTTATTTGAGGACAATCTGTTCTCGGTGATCGCGGGAATTTTCTAATACGGCATTAAAGTTATTGCCGTTACATGATGTAATTGCTTCGGATTTTAAGATTTTTCGTAGTGATAAAAATTATAATGTAGAGTGGAACAAAGGTCAACTAACCGAGATACTAGAATGTTTATTGAGTTAGTTAATTGACTTTTGTCACCTTGGATTGCCTATTTTATTTGCATGTTTTTTTAACAAATAATTGCTTGATATATGGAGAATTTTCCACGCAATTAATATTTATCTGTTTTAAATTATTTCTCACGGATTTACAACAGAATTTTTACCTTTTTGTTTGTTGTTTTACAAATTTTGGGTTTGTTTTTTGTCTCGCTCTCCTGTTTAGCAGAATTCGCCGTCTTTCTTCTCTTCTTTGGACAACCGCAATCCTCAATCTCCAACGTAATCTTCCTCTTACTATTTAACTAAAACAAATACAAGAATAAATACAAATTTGCTTAGCAGTGAAATCAAATTATTTTTAAACTTACTTGTTTAACGTCTTTTATTTCGTTTTCGTTGGATTTTTCTTCTTGTTTTGCTTCCGTGCACTGAAAGAATCAAATAATTAAGTTATAATTTGTATTCCTTTCGTAAAGAAATCCTCTGAACAAACTTTAAACATTTATAACCGAAGTCTGAGTGCCGATTGTCTTGAATTCCTTTTTGTTTTTGTCAGGCTGATCGCGACTTTTACTAGAATCTTTTTCCTGTAAAATGAATAAGGGTTTGTTACTTTGTTTCAATGTTGATTACTATAATAAACACCCTTCAAAGTCCAATCTTACGGCATTTTCCGCAAAAAGACTCCAAAAAAAGTCCATTTCTCGCAGACACCAGAATCAAAATCAACAATAAGAGTTGTTAGTCTACACAATAAAGAAGTTATAAGAGTATTGTTTAAATAAATGTTAATTGTTCTTAAAATATATTTGACGTAAATTTTATCCGATTGAACGATAAAGTTGTAACTTCAGTTATCTTTGCTAATCGAAAATTTCTAAAAACTTCTTTTCGTATTAGAATTATTTACTAATTAAAATTAACAAAATAAGACAATATGTAAAGAATATATATTTATAATATTCATTAAAGTGTGGTTCAAAAGTTTTAGGACTGATTCGTTGTCGAATCATTATACATTACAACTAAAACTGAACCTATCGGAAAATATACCTCGTATATTGTAGTACGCGGGCGACGTACCATAGAAGATTTAGTTTCGTTTACGCTTGCAAGTGCTGTGTCACGCTTGTTTAGTCACATATAGATGCACATAAGCATAAAATTTTATATTAAACTCGAAAGCATTTTCGTAGAAACATATATGAAATGGTACGAAAAGCTTTACTAGAAACAAGTCTTTGACTGGATAACGTTTTTGAGTGGCATCAAGAAGGTCGAATACCCATGAACGATGTATGCCAGCTTCAATTTGTCCAGATAATGTTCAAGAAATAAGCATCAAAGCGCAGGAAATCCATTACATAAATAGCACGTATTCAGGTCTGAAAGTATTGACACGTCACGGTGTCCTGTCAAAGCATGATGAGACGCAAACGGCGCAGTTATGGAATAAATAGTCATGCCCACTATACCATGACGATGCGTGTTTTAGTACACGTGGTGTGGAAAATGCCGAATGACGACACGCGTTGTCATTCGGCATTTTCCACTCAATAGTTTCTCAGCAAAAAGTGGGTGATAGTGATTATTCAGCATTCTTGAGCTCCCGATTGTTTTCATTTGATTTCCCCCTAAACTAAAAACAGTCAGAATGTAGGATGTAATGAGATAAGGCAAAACAAGACATGGTCAATCTGCCTAGTGAGGACTTTTAAGGAATCTGGTCTGTATTTAGGTTTTGACTCGTGAAGAAAACCCGGAAAACTTAACGTGGACAACCCTTTGGAAGGCAAAAACCCTGCAACTACTAGTGTCTGGAGATTTTATTCACCCGGCCAATGATGACCTCAACCCTTCTGCCACAAACTGGAATTTATCTAGCAACAAATTTACTAACTTTCCCGATTTATTTTATTACTCATAATAAATAAATAAAATTGTGTATGAAGCCATCTGTTATGAGATTTCGTTATAAAAACTTTATATATTTTTAATTATTATAAAATGGCAAAAGACTGAATTTTGAGGATAGAGAGAGAGATTCGTTATTAGCATCTACAATTGTAATGCAACTTAACGATCACTTGGCTTTCTTTCACCTTTATTCTAGTTCAGAGGTGGCGAACCTATGTCACGCGTGTCCAAAGTGGCACATCGAAGAAATCACCCGGCACGTAACGTAATAATTAACATCCGCTACATTCTCTTTAGGTCTTGTTTTCATCTGTCTTTTTGTTTCTCCTATGTAAACTTTATTGAGCTGCTCCCTCCCCATTGTGGCAAGTAGCCACAAGTCTGTAAGGCAAAGTTACCTATGTACATATTGTTAAATTTATATTTGTTGTTTGTTCTAAAAATTGTATAAGTTTTAAGGATAAAGTAATAAAGAAGACATTCCCCTTGTGATGCGGATAGCGGGACAAGGGAGACTGGTCCCTGCAAAGGGAAATGATGTTGTTCTAATGAAAAAAAAAAATGATGCTCCATGTACACGATATTTGATAAACTATATTCCTCATTTCTTGTATTGGTTGTTTTCTTTCTTTAGTGGATAGTCTAGCTTTAATTCTGGCCGATAATTTTTCATAATTTGGTACTAATTTTATATTAATTTTTTGTGTTTCTCTATTTATGTCTTCATATAATCTACATGGTGTTGCACTACATTGTGTTGGATAAACAATAGAAATAGAACACGACACGGTTTCAAGAAGATAAGCATCTACAAATTTTACTTTCCCCAGCTTTTATGTATGAGTAACAAGGGAAAATATTGGAATCATGTCAAATTTGACCCTCCGAGTTTTTAGCAAATCTCCACATTTTGTCACCTCCTGAAACCAAAAAAGTAAAAACACGAAGAAAAATACGTTGATATGTATGGAAGCGCTAAATACTCAACACTCAACACGCTTAGTGTTGAGTGTTGGTGTCTATTTCGTTTAATATCTCAGAATGGGGTGAAGATTAAAAAAAAAGAAAGAAATTTGACACGGCAGCTTGTGTAAAAAGGGCATTGAAGTTATTAAATTTTGGTAGTGAAAAGTCGACAGATAGTTGGGCCTGTTAGACGTCCGTGTTTATTTGTCATCACTTTATTTGTCATCCTATTCTGCGCTGTGAGCGGACGAATTGTCGTTAGCATATCGAAACTGAAGTTAATGATAAAAGACCTTAACCCTAACAGGGCCCATGTGTCATATCTGGAATGGGGTTGGATTTAATGAAAATGTTCTGCCTTTAGCATTTACATTTTTTTTTTTTTTTTTTATAGAACTGATCACTACCCTCGAAATTAAGCTTTCTTCCATTCGATAATAATTAAAAATATAGAAAGTTTTTATAGCGAAATCTCATAACAGATGGCGCCACACAAAATTACATTACATTATTATAGTTACATTATAATTAAAAATATAAAAGTTATTTTCTAAATAAAATCTCACAACAGTCGGAAAAGTTACGCAACTCGTTGCTGGATTTTTTATTTAAAAAATATTAATAACGTTACTAAGTCCGATCCCTCTCGAGATATGACCCAACCCCACCTTTTTATCTCCTCATCCTTTCGACTTTTAACCACCGAAATTTACTAGCATCAATGCCCTTTATATAAGTTTACAAATTACCATGCCAAATTTCTTAATCTTCACCCCGTCCTGAGATATTAAATGAAACAGACACCAACGCACACGCATACACCTTACACCACGCATATACTTCTTAGGACAATTTTGGAAGATATTCTTTGGCAGAATCGCCATAATATGCCACGTTGGAATTGCGAGGGATTTAGCTACCACTATCAAAAAACTGGCTTCGATTCTCTTATATGGGGTGATGAAAGTAAATGCTCGAGCCTTAATGTTAGGTTGTCGACTCACCAAAGTTATTAATTTTATAACACTAGCATATTCGTCCATCTTTTATCCTATTAGAATCTATATTAAATTGAAGTGTGTTGTTCTAGTATTATGGAGGACAGTTTGGTGACATTGATGTATACAGGGAGAGAGGGTCTTGTGATCTTTTTACATAAAAGATATTTGTTTAGAAAGAATAAAATAAATATATGTAGATTAATTGCCTTTCCTGACCTTTATATATATATAGTATATATAAATTAGAATGTTTGTTTGTTTGTACGCTATACACGTCTAGGCTGTTCGATCAATTGCTACGAGACTCGACAGTTACGTTTATATACCGCTAACTTAGATAATGTCGAACATCCCACCCTAAATATCTATTGGACTTTTGTAAATAAATTAATTTTTATCTTCATTCCATTTGCTGGTTTACACGTGGCTCCTATAGATGACACTATCTGTAAATGAGCAAATGGAATTACAGTTAATAATAAAGAAAACTTTTGTAAGTACGAATTCGTCTTATTTGACTTCGTTTCCTGATAATGTTGTGGACTGCGTGGAATCGAAAGTGTTATCCTGTAAAAAGTCTATAAGAATTTAATTTTCCACATCTAACTACTCGAGTTTTTTTCATTTCTAAACGGTACTTTCTGAATTCTAATAAGCGCTTTCCAGTAGCAAAGTGCATAAAATTACCGAACTCTGGTAATTAGTTAGTGGAGGGTTCGGGCACGGCCAACGGGATGGATTTTTCCGGGTTTTCTTCACGTTAGTAACACCTAAATAGAGTCCAGCTTCCCATAAAAGGCTTCCCGGAATGCATCCCCTCGGTATATCGCTTACGTATCGCATTGCCTTTCCAAATAAACCAAACTAATTCTAACGAGCGATTATTTATTGCGACATCGTCACAATAAATAATCGCTCCTTTGCTCCTGTACTTCATAGTTTTCCTGTTAGCAATAGAGTCGTGCCGGTTATCTATCCAACTCCGTTCAGGGGAAAATTTCGAATCGATGTAACGTGATTTCCGGTCGAAACCGGAAGTTTTTGTATAGTTAATCTGCGATTACTTTTGGCCGAATTAGTTCGACTCCCCTCTGCAACAGTCTCCTTTCTATCGGACCAGCTGTATGTTGACATAAGAAAATTGTATAATACAAGGTTACCGGCGAGTATAAAATATGTTTTAAGTGGTTTTCGAGGGTGCCGACTTTAAATATATAATCCGTTTTTCGCGAAATTTGATTGGTTGGCAGATTACCATTTGATATTCGGCTGCGAATGGTAGTTTCTTAGAGTTGACATTAAGAAAAATACGATATCTTAATTAACATATATTTGCAATTGGGGTCTACTTGACCAATGAGAGAGATTATGTCATTTCGTACCTCCGAGTATTGCGATAAACGTGACAATGGTAGGCTGAAATAACCAAACTCTTTATATAGTTTTCGTTTAAATGTGTTAGATTGCTCACTCGGTACGATAAACCTTTGTAAATATAAATTAAATACTATAATATAATATAATAGAAGGATTAGAAATATGAAAGAATCTAATAATCTCAACGTTTGTTGTTATTTTTTGCTCGGGCTCATCTGCTAGTATATATATATACTAGCAGGTGGGCCCGGCGTTGCTCGGGCAAAAGTAACGATAACTAAGATAAAGATTATTACGTTACAGTCAACCTTACCCGTTTTCACAGAATGCAAGAATTGGGTTCCCTTGTTTCCAGACTAATTAGAGAATTTTTAGATGGGTCTAAAAATATGTTCGATTTCCCGCAAAAACGAAAAAAACTGCATCTGCGTCTTGCACGTCGCTTTCTCTTAACAATTCCATTGTTACGTAACATTTCCATTGTTGACACTTCCATTGTTACTTAAAACTTTTATTGTTACTTAAAACTTCCATTGTTACTTAACACTTCCATTGTTACTTAGCACTTCCATTGTTACTTAGCACAAAAGTTATATGGTTAAAATTAGTACCGCGGAGTGGGAAAAGACTGCTTGGTATATTGTAATGAATGTGATAATAGTTATTTGAGAGATTATTGCAGAAGGAAAGATTAATGTAATAGATGCGAGCAAGATAAGACTATTTACCATATTTTCTTTGAATGTAAGACTGCTGCTGCCGTGTGAAATTGGATTGTGAATATAACGTTATCATGGGATAATATTAAATTCCAGTATAATTATAGTAATGAAAATGAATATATGTTAAACTGGATGACTGATCTAGTTAAAAGAGCAGTGTGGAAAGCTAGATGCGTAGAAGTTTATGAAAGGAGATGGGTGGATTCTAAGACGGTTATTGGTGAAATTAAGAAAGGAACAGAACACAGAGTGTTATGAAAATAATGAAGGTAGGAAATAAACAAACCTGCTATGATGGATTAATTGGCAAGGTTTTGGCTGAAAGAAATGGGAATCTGACTTTTTAGTGAGTGTGTTAACTAAGGTCTTATTGAGTTTTAGATTTTATTTTATTTATTCTACATTTTAGATGTTCTAAGATTGCTTTCACCTTTTGGGTTTTTAAACATTTTATGGTTTCCTATTTTTTTATTTTTTTACTGTTTTTCTAAGGATCTGCCGCTCCTGGAGAGAGTTATGGTTTCGGCTTCTGAAAATGTGAAAATTATTTCGTTGGCACAAATTTACATGTAAAATTGAAACTATGTTTTACTATGGCGATATCGGGATCATTCGTTGGTAGGCCGGCGGCTACTAAAGGGAGAAGTTTCATAAAATATATCATGATTTAAGAAATGCGAATTAACAGAAATGAGAAACAATAAACGTGTTTTCCCTAAATTACGTGATTGTGACGACACGCAAACACACCTTATTTAAAAGAAAGAAAAAAAAGGAAAGGTTTCACGTGGAGTTGTGAAAAAATAATTGTCCGTTTGTTTGGGCACGTATAACATTGTGTGTTCCATACGTTGCTTCAGCGACTAGAATGGAATATGTTGCGTTTTTGTCGCTGCTACTAAGCAGCCTTTCGTGTGGTCTATCCATTGAAGTAGGCAAATTTCTCTCTCTAATTTCAAAGCCTTTTTTGTAGCAGCGACAAAGAGACTAAAAGTCGCTCGTGTAAACGTCGCCCAATTAGTTAATATACATATTTTTTTGCGTTAAATACAAATTTAGTCATTTTAGTGCTTCGCGGATAAAAATTGTAGAGGAGAAGGTGGTATTATGGAACCCCAATTACATTTTAGTGAATTGTAAACAAGGTATCATAACTACACCTACATTTTTTGTGCGAAAAGTACTGATAACTAGTAATCTAAATGTTCCTAATTGGATTTTTCACTAGTGTAACTATAAGTATGGTTTTTGAAGGCTTTTGTACAAAAAGTCCGAAAGTAGGCTTAGAGAAAATCGGGTGGTAATATGGAACCTTACTGTATATTTTCAAAAAAAATGCTTTAATGTAGCCAAAAACAAATAGGAAAGGACAAAAAATGTTAAATAATTACAAAATTATTTACTCCAATGTATTTTATCGCAAAAATGCTTTTATAATAGAAAAATATGACCTCCATCAACAATATATATTCCAGCAGCTCTTTTTCGATATTTTCAGACTTTCTACCTAGTGTCTTTTTCCCAAATTGCTCCGGACGAATGTCTGATTGCAAAGAGAGAGTTCGGAGGAGTTGAGTTCCATATTACTGTAAAAGCACCAAAGGGGTCCGTATTTCACGCATCGCCATCTCGAATTAACTTATGTCTGTCGAGACCAAAATTTAAAAAACGTGAACATCACACAGATTAATATGTACCCCTAAGTCTCTGGAACGGAATACATGCACCAGTGAACCTACAACTACGCGATTTATATTTTAAAAATAATTAAATTCACTTAGCATTCAAAACTTGCGAATTTTGAAAAAACAAATTTGCTGATTAAATGCGGACAACTGTTTAACAGAAATAAAACGGGTTTTTCCCTTGCTATGGATGTCTGCCTAGTTCAGTTCAGCCACATTCCGCTACAGTTTGCCTTTATTATCAGTTCGAAATGGGGTGGTTCCATAATACCCGCAGTGTTCCATAATACCACCTTCTCTTCTATTATTTTCTCTTTTGTCATTGTCATATTTTATTTTTTCTTTTTTGATGAAAATTGGATTTTCTTTCAAATTTCTACTATTGTGAGATAAAGAATAAATATTTCAACATGGAAATATTTATAATATTAATGTAGATATAGGTTCTACTTTTGAATTTCGTTCATAAGGTTTTTTTTAAATAACAGACTGTCTATACAGAACTATTGTTGGTCATTCATGGCGAATGGTCTTCAGATTCCAACATAGTAAGAGAAAATACATTATAGACGGCAAGTATGTAAAACCTGTATTTGACTTACTTATAAAAACACAAGTTTCATTAACTGCATTCTTAGCAATTGAATCTTTTATTGCTTTTCAGGCAATCAGTAAGAGAGTCTCGACAATGGCAAGTGAAGGACATGAAGCTTAATCTTCCTTAGATTCGTGGTAAATTTGCCATCGATTCTTTTAATTTGACCAAGGCCGCAATGGGACATCTAGTTAGTGAAGCACAGAGTTTGGTCATCTTATAAAAATTCCTGAAGGTCGTAACAAAGCTCAAACCTGGGTCCCTAAAACGAAAATCGGCCTCAGCTATTTCAGAGAGTCAATTGCCCATACTAGGCAATTGTTAAGTGTTATTGAGTAAGCTACAAATATTCTGGATGAGGAATTATCTCTATAAACAATTAAAATTGGCAATAGAAAGCGTAAAATTATGTAAAATTAAATCAGACGATGGCAAATATCGCTAGAATTTAACATATTCGAAACAACTAATAAAAGAGCAGAAAATTTACATTTTGTGCGTGAATTATACAATCAAATCAAACCTTTCAACACGTGAAAGCAATTTTTCTACTGATAATTGTAATAGACTTAAAAATGTGCATGATTATTTTAATAAACATTTCCACGCCTATTTGTCCTATTTGTGCATTCACACAAAAATTTAACTGAAGTTGCAACATTATCATTCAATTGGATAAAATTTACGTCAAATATATTTTAAGAACAATTAACTTTTATTTAAATAATACTCTTAACTTCATTATTCTGTTGTGTAACAATTTGTATTGTTGATTTCGATTGAGAGTGTCTGTCAGCTATGGATTTTTTTTGGAGTCTTTTCACTGAAAATGATGTAAGATTGGACTTTAAAGGCTGTTTATTGTAATGCCCACCATTGGAACAAAGTAATAAACCCTTTTTCATTTTACAGGAAAAAGATTCTAGTAAAAGTCGCGATCAGCCTGACAAAAACAAAAAAGAATTCAAGACAATCGGCACTCAGACTTCGGTTATAAATGTTTAAAGTTTGTTCAGAGGATTTCTTTACGAAAGGAATACAAATTATAACTTAATTATTTGATTCTTTCAGTGCACGGAAGCAAAACAAGAAGAAAAATCCAACGAGAACGAAATCAAAATTGATCGTCAGGTAAATAATTTAAGAAAGAATTTGAATTAATATTTGAAATCCTCTGATTTTATTTCTAAGAAATTTCCATTTATTTTCCTATTTGTTTTAGACAAACAATAAGCGGAAGATAACATTGATAATTGAGGACTGTGGTTGTCCAAAGAAAAAAAGAAAAAAGAGCGAGACAAAAAATAAACCTAAAATTTCCAAAAGCACAAACAAAAAGGTAGAAATTCTGTCGTAAATCCATACATAAAAATTCTGAAAATTCAAATACTGAGTGATGTGATTAATCATGACATGATATAATTATTCTTGAATGAAATTAGAATCACAGTGTGGTCCAAAAATCGGTTAACCGACTTAACTGCTTGACTTCTGTTCATTTTCTATTATACTTTGTTATTATAAAACTCACACTATGTAATAAAAAATCTTAAAATTCGAATTATTCATATCACAGAGGCCATTTGTCTTTAATTAGAAAATTATCAAAATTCTCGCGATCATTTAATATTTCAGCATAATTCTAATCTCTGAAAACTGATGAATTAAATTCATTATAAAATTAAAACAAAGAAAAGAAATATAAAAACATCTAATTTCATAATGATTTGGATATTAAAATTAAACAAAAGTATACAATAATATAGGCTATTTCATTATTAAATATAATTTAAGTATAAAAAAGGATATGTTATATGTAACGAATAATTAAAAATGTTTTCAACTAAATTATTAATTCATTATTTTTAATTAGGAAGAGAAGACAAACATTTGCAAAAAAATATCAGAAAGAATGAATAAAAGCAGTTAAAACAGATAAAACATTGGAGGAAGAGACAGAAGCGTGTGATTTCCCAACAATTTCTTCCTCTCAGGAAAACATCGACCAGCCTATTACGGCATTTAGACGTTTACAAATACTGTAATAATTGTTTTAAATCAATTCATATCAAGAATTTCTATCGAATTTTATATTCATAGAAGTAAATACTCTAAAATCAATGGGGTGGTTCCATAATACCCGCAGTGTTCCA